TTTTTTCTTGTGAGTGCGACGCATCCTCTCGCGGCCTGAGGACCTGGTGTCCTACCCATGCGGCTCAGACGGTGACTGGTGACGCTTGAACTCCGGGATGCCGTGTACCAGAAGAAGAGGACTGAGCCGTCACGCAGGACCTCGTACAGAAGCTGCCGGTCCTCAGAGACGCCAAAATCCAGAAGCTCGAGATGCTCCTGCAAGTCCGGAGCTCCGCAAGACATGGCTGACATGCTGCCATCGATCGCGAGCGCTGTCCTCATCGCCTCCACCCGCCCCTCCAACTGCGTGGGTTGCGCCGCACTTGGAAGCCAGCCGGCAGCGAGCGAAGTTTGATGCCACGACAAGAGTCTGGTAGCTGCCGATCTGTTGCAAGTAGTACGTCTCACCGCCGGCCCGGATGTCTTCCGAATCGCTATGTGGGTCCCCTCGAGCAGAATCCGCCGTGAACTTGCAACCGCCACACCGCCAGGACAATGTGTCATGCAGTATGGTATACTGGTGCAATGTATTGCAATGTCATTCGGGCATCCAAGCCCAGGTTCTCTGCAGCGTGTCATAAGTGCCACTCGGCTCCTACGCGTCGGCGCCGGAGATGCCCTGTTGAATATATGCACTCAGAAAGAAGCCTTGATGTGGCTGCCTAGATCAAGCAAACAGTCACAAATAGTCGGCGCCCTTGGTGCTGAACAGCGCGGCGGCGGCAGCAGACGGCTTTCAGCACTCCCGTCCAAACACCTCTCCGAGAACTCAGCCTGCATCTCTCCAGCTTCCTGCAAATTCAGACGATTTGCAGACTTGCTCTGCACCTCGCAACTGCTTTGCCAGAGTCTTGCTGTGGTGGCTTTTTCCAGGCCGGGGACTTTGGCCAAGCCCGATCATGCCCGACAGTTTTCGTGTGATCAATCGCCTCTGGCAACAACTGCATGGTGACGCATGTCTTCGCAGCCTCAAACAAGCTGCGGCGGCCATGTTCGAAGATCTGCAGAGGCCGCTCTTGAGAAAATAAGCCAAGTTTGTGCCCGGGGCCCTGGACAAGACACGGGTGTGGGTCCCCCAGGCGCTGGCCCGTCGGACCTGGTGTGACCCCCGGAAGTATGCGCGTGCAGCCTTCGCCGTCCTTCCTGTAATCCGTTAAGTTGATGAAGGCCGGAGACATGTTCCTGGACCTAGCCCTGCCGTAGGGGACAAACACGAAGTCAAAGCAACCCGGCAAGAAATGATCACAAAGGTTGCAGCCGTCAGGGTAGAGGGCAGATGCCTCCGCCTGCCGCCGCTCCATCAAACAAGAATTGTCCGTGAAGATCACGGAAAGCTGCAGGCGACCACTCTTTCACCAAACTCGCCAAACAGCTAAGCATGACATCCTGTCGCGCACAAGGCAGATTGAGATGGGTTTGAATGACGATTGACTTTAGCAGGCTGTGTTTACTGACGTCTGCTTAGTCTTAGCTCTTTTGCAACGACCGAGAGCTGAGGCTGAGGCTTCGAGCCACGATTGAGACAGGCTCGATGGCTGTCCAAAAACTTCGTTTTCCCAAGCTCCACACCCCGAAACACGCGGCTGATTTGTTGACACGTCAGACTTCAGCGTTAGCTCTGGCATCTCGGAATCTTCCAGTGGGCGGCAAAAAACCCTCAGGTCACCAATGGCCATACTCGCAAAGCTCAAAACGCACAACCAAAGCCTCAAATCCGCCGACCCTTTATACAAACCCCAAGCATCCCCGCATCTTTTCAAGCAGCATCCGCGCCGAACCGCGCAATGCGGTCTCGATGTGCCACATGCTCCGGGCGGGGGACCTCCATGCTTCGGGCTGGCTTTCAGGCTTTTAGGCTGTAGGATGCCTCAGGTCCTGGGACTATTCCACAATAAAAAGCGGGATCCCACGCCAAGGCCCAAAAGCACACGGCAAAAACGTGGCTCACACGGATCTCCGTCGTCATCGTTCAGTTCGTGACAAGCCAACTGGTGTTTCGACACACACGCTCGCAAACCAGGCACGGATCTTGGCGTTTAGGTGTTCAGCGCCCAGGGCCCACAATCCAAAATACATGCAACAAGGCCGGCTGGGATGCCGAGGTCTTTCATCTCAAGGACAAAGACTTTCCAGATGCGTCGACGCAGCTTTGGTTAATTCCTGTTTGCATGTTTTTGGTGACTGCAGGACGCCGCTGTTGCGCGTGACATAACCGCGCTTGGTTGGATCCGTCCTACTCCTGAACTTCTGAAGCCGCAAATCTCCTTTCATTATCCGAAATACCATAGCAACGAAGACGACATCCCAAACCACAGCCATCAGGAGGGCCTGCGCATAGAAAGGAGACTGCAGCCGGTTCTCCCAAGAGTTGAACGCTACGAAAAGATTCCTCGCAGGATGGGTGTGCGGCTTTGCATGGCTTTGCTGTAGGGGCCTTGAATAGCAGTCTCCGCCTAGACTGTTGCCGGAAACTTTCGGCGGGCCAAACTTGGGCACAATGACGATGTCTTCATTCAATTTCACTGTGAGGAGTCTTGGTCTACTGCGAAGCAGCCTCAGCCATTCCAGACCGTTCAGCTGCTTCGGGTTTTGTGGCTCCCACATCGCAAATGCAAGCAAGCACGGGATGTCCTTTTTGACTCCCAGGATTAGTCAAAGGCTCTGGATTTCCTGTTGCTTGCGGTTCAAGTTGTTCTGCACTTTTCGGCGGCTCTTATAGGATGGATAGCAGGCACAAGGAGACCGGACTTCTGCGAATCTGGCTAACGCCCATGAGACCGGGATTCCTCCGATGCCACGGCGATCGGTTGCCACAGGATGCATGCAGAAGGTTGGAGTCAAAGATGAGAACCTCACTCGGACTGGCCAGGTGAGGTCTATCAGGCGCAAGTCGGCATTAAACCAAGTGAAGCCTTGGGGTTTGCGTTCGGACTGCGTTGCTGGTGAGGTCCAAGACACAGCGGCCGAAACATTATAGCATCATCTATGATACTACCGCACAAAGGTACAGTTCTGTTGCATCAACGTAATTGCTAGTGGGCTTTAGATGCTTCCCTTCAGGAAAGCACGGGACGACCTGCACAAAAGGACGACGTTCAGAGTTTATAGTCGTGGCCTGCAGACTTCTGGATCCTTTAGCATCAAAAACTTTCCAGGAACCGATGAGATTCAAAGGACGGGGGATGGGTACTCGAGTTTCTATCTGCCTGCTATACTCCTTCTCGCATCTTTGGCGAGCTAGCGCTAGCGGAGGCAAGCAACACATACATATTTGGTTTTCCACATCCTTGACATGACGGACCTTTCTCAATCAAACCTTCAAAGAAATGGTCCTGGAAGGTGCATTCGCTTACAAGCTCTGATCGAATTGCTTCACCTTCGGTGCGAGCAAGCCCTTGGCACTCTGGGAACTCGTAGCTGAATTATCTTCGAATGGAATTTTCTTGAGAAACATGCTGCAGGCTGCAGGGGTAACTTAAGACTTAAGGGTCCTCAGAAAGCTCGGATGTACATCTATGTGCAGTCCACAATAAGGTCCCCCAACATGCCTCCTTGATAGCTGAGAAGCATCACCAGCTTCGCCAACACAGTGTTGGATGCCATGTTTGTTCGCAAGCGCAAGGATATCCTGCGACAGACATAGACCTTCTACAAGTACGGAGAACTAGTTGCCCGACTACTACATGGGCACGACATGTTCCTAAACAAATCAGTCTGCCCGATATATCCAAGCACTCTTCTAGGCGACAAATGCGTGCGGGTAAGTCACCAAACTCAGCACCTCCAACCACGCTTTGCATCTACAAGAAGTCCTCTCTCTAGATTAAACTCTCAGTTGCTACTTTTTTGCCTCAGTTGCTGTTAGGAAGGTAGCGGAGTCGATGACAACATAGGATCGCAGCAGGCAGTCCAATCTTACCGCAGTAGACCTTCGAAAGCCTCCGGAGCACCTACTCGAGCATGCCCCAACTACCTACGAGAAGGCGAGTGACAACTCCCACGTTTTCCAGAGGAAAGCTCAACAATGCTCAATTCAATACACAGCCTGTAATCCTCCGCCACTATGCAGCGGAATTTCATTTACAGGGGTACCAAAGATGCCCTAAACCCAATTAAGTAGCCCTCGAACACAGCTTCAGACTCTGGCTTGTAGCAGACGGCTGACCCTGCCCCTGAATTCTTCAAGGGACTCATGCAAACTCAGCTTGGCACCTCATTTGCTGGCGTTCCATAGGTCTGGGCGTGCCAGTGTTTTCGCAGAGTTTACGCATCTTCACTCCAGGGCCTAGGGACGTATGAACTGGTGCCGTATCTTGAAAGACGGAACCATGGCAGTTCATCGTGTTCGATCGGATCAACTGATGGTGGCTCTTCACTTGTGGCTCCAGGTTCACAGATGACAGATGCAGGCTTTTGATATGTATGATGGAGACCCGAGGGATCTAGGATTGCAGGATGCTCTCCGGTATGAGAAGTGCTGACTGGCTAACGAAGTCAAGGAGAAAGCAACGAGGCAGTTGAGTCAGAACAGCATGGTCGCTAAGTCAATCCGTGCAAAGTCTCATCGAACTCAGCCAAAGCCGTGCCAAGACTTAGTTGAGTGCCTTCAAGACTTAGTGGTGTGCCTCTCCCACGGCCTTCAATCTGTAAGACAAGACCAGAGGGCACTGAATCCAGGGAAATACCAAACGATTTCCCACAAGGCTGTCTACCCAGTGGCTGAAGGATCCTTTAAAACGCGGTCGCAGGAGAGGGGGCAATCATTCTTATTGCAGATGCTCATCTTGAGCGACAGCCTGTGACTGCAAGGACTTCTCCCAATTGGCGTCCTCCTGGTGCAGAAACTTCTGATAGGATGCAGATTTGGATTCGGACGCTTATCAGCAGGATCACAACATCTCAAAAGGATGGTCATCATTCATAACATGATAGCTTCGCCATGGCCATAAAGCAGCATGGTGCCCAGCATGTGGCCATCCTACGCATGCAGCAGGTATGGCCGCCGAGACAGCACAAGAGATAACTGTGCGAGAATAATGTATTTGGACTCTGGCAGCTCGGACTCTGCAGGCGCATAGGTTACAACCCCACGTGACTCCTGATCCGAGCCCACCAAAGCCATACATGGGGTTCGGACATTGCGAAACACAAGGCTCGGTAAACAAGGGCCTTTCCCCGGGCTGGAAGATTGGGTGTGGCTTGTCTTGGAGCTAGTTGTAGGTCGGGGTTTATTGCGGGGATTCGTGGCCGCTATGGCGTACGGGCTGACAGGAGCTGAAAGCTGCAAGGTCCTGCCGACCAGGACATCGGAGAAAACTTTTGTGTGATCCCGGCACCACCATCCTGGAGACAAAAATCGGGATGCGCAGTTTCAGGTGGGCACTATGTGATTGTACGGACATGCCTAGTACAGAGAAGACGGAGAAGCCACAACGAGGTGCTGCAGGCAACAGTACAGTGTGCCGGGAATTTACAACAATTATTTGAGCAAGATTGCCAAGCAATCTTGCGATCTTGGGCACGCCGACTAGTTTACCTTTGAGTCCAAGATTGCAAGGGGGCAGCAAGCAAGATCAAGATTGCCAAGATTACCAAAGTGTTGGAGATGACCAGGCTGACCAAGATTGCCAAGATGGTTCCATCAAATAATTGTTCTAAATTCAGGCACCACGTAACAGCATCAAGCCCGACAGGCAACAATCTTGTCCACTGGGCTGTGTGCAAGGTAAAGCCTTCTGGATTTGGCACGTGAGCCGTTAGGGGCATTTGATGCTTCACGTATTTGAATTTTCGGCCTTGGCCGATGGACAGCCAAACCTAATTTTGACACTCACACTCGGACAAGCCTGGCAAGACCTAATTTAGGTTTACGAAGAAATCTCCTAAGATGGACCTGCAGAAATTTTGGGTTTGACAGGGGCCAAGGGTGTGTAGCGGACCCCGACGTCCAGGGAGTCCAGTCTTCAGTATTGTGGGCTCCAAAGTCTCTCCAAGATGCTTAACGGTCAACTTGCCGCACATCCGGAAATTTGCGCGCACAACAACTTGCACATGGTTTCACAAACTAGTGCCTTCAGCTGCATTAGTCCTTTCTCGAAAAGAAGGAGCAGATCCAGGAGCAGCATGGCAGCGATACGCTTAAACAAACTCATATACGCCACTAGCTCTCTGAATTCGGGGCATGAGGATGGGGGCCAATGTCTGCCCAGCATCAGTGCCCCGTTGCTCTCCACCTGAATTTCATAGGTAATTTCGAATTTCGACTCGCCCAGGTTTCCACAGGTTTCCAGGCATATGGTTGGAGGGACAGATACTACAGATGGCCATCTTCTGAAGTAGCCGATGGATCATCTGGATGAACGGGAACCGGCCGGGAGTAATGAAAGTCTGATGGGAGACTTGTGAGTCGAATTCTGCCCTGAAGGATCCTGAAGATGAGGATCCACAAACACGAAGTTGAGTTGTGCGTGTGCAGCTTGCTATGTCAGAACCATGACCAGCAAGCTCAATACAGTAAGCACCGAAACGAAGCAACCTCCCAAGCTTCAGACCATGGCAGTTTGGCAGCCTCTGCAAGATTGAATTTCAGGGAGAGGCCCGAAATCCCGCAAAACTGGAAAGCTTGAAGCCGAAACCGCCGAAACCGCAAGAGTCTCGGAAAGGCACGTTCTTATCCAGGTAGACCACGACGGAAGCACTGCGTGGACAAGGCATCCCATCCTCCATGGATTGTATGTCCGGCTTAGGTAGGACATGAGGGTGGACGGTTCGAGAACCTTGGGCCGGAGCATGTTGACAATTCTTTGAGGAGTTTCGCATGTTGGGACTGAGGGCTTGGTTTCTTCGGCGTTTAGGTGGCGAATCAGCGTCTTCTGGGATTCTACTTCTGATTGCAGTGAATCCGGGCAACCGTTTTTTGCAGCAGCCTGAAACCCGGCTTGTGGCAATCACCCAACCATAAACGATAGAAACTTTAGCACGGTGCCCTCATCATCCCTACCTGTAAATTTACAAAGATGCGCAGGCCAAACGGCTCAGATCGGAGGACTCCATACCTCACAAAGCCCCAGCATGTTAGCCCGAACCTGTAGAACCAAGACCCACTCCTAGCACCCTTGTCTCAAAAGTAACCTTCCCCTTGTTTTGCTCAATCTTGGGTCCTTTCATTACACCTCCAGACAAAACATTGGTGTCCTCCGCATGCCAGGTTTCAAAGTCGCCTTAGCACTGCGGTTATGACGGGAGCTAAAGTATAGGACCGGGTTGGGATTTTAGGACTTTGAGGTTTCAGGGTTCTTACGTGTTTCAGGGTAGGGAGTCAGACCCCGCATCTAAGTTTGACACTGGCTGTTCGGGCTTCATCGCATCGGGCGCTCATTAGATTGCAAGATGCCAATGCGTAGTCGGTTCCAGACGTTCCTTTGTATAAAGGATCGCATCCTACTCCTAGTCACGAGGATTTGCACTCTCGTCGTCGGACCACGCTAGGCGAAGCCTCAACCAGCACCACTAGCATAGCACTCGGGAGGGTCTCACCTCATCTTTCCAACGTGAAACAGCGACACCAGCAATGACAGGCATGGCGTGCCGACGATGCTCCATCCGTCCACATCCCGGATCATTTCATGGCCACGAAACCCCAGTGCGGTGCCCTTTTGCTTCACGTTGGTGTCTTTCTTCCAACATCTCTTCTTGTCGACCCTTGCGGCGCCTGCATGGCACAGTATTTAGACTTTAGACCTCGATGGTGGGAGTCGACTACTCCTCATCTTCACGCTCCGCCGCCCGCTCCTGACTTAACAGGACCTGGTTGCTGGCGATGTGACGCACGAAGGTTGTTTGCGTTGAGTTGGCGACAAGGACGGCATTGGCTGTTGCAGGTGCGCAGCGTCGGGAAGATGCAGGGGAAGGCAGGGGGGCTCAGGTAGGGCGGGCAACGTTGGGGAGCCCGTGCGCAATCAACAGCCTGGTGGAGGCGGCAGAGTGCGAGTTGGACTGGTTGACGGCCAGCTGTATCCGTCGCTGTCCTCTAAGCTCGCCAAAACCGAGCACGTTCGCTAAAGCTTGCAACTCCTTAAGCAGACTGGAAACATGAGACATAACGAGAATTTACGTCTTCAAACTCCCGAATACAAATTCCAAAGCTCCCATCCCGAAGCTCAAACTGATAGAAGTTGCACTCTCCAAGCTGTAAGTTACACCTTACTTATTCTTGTAAACCCAAACCGTGCATGCAAACCTTTAGTGCCTGATGATCAGTTGGATCGAACAAGTGCACGTTCTGCCCAACTCGGTCGATCGCCTTCTGGAAAGGAGGCGAAGTTGCCGAGGGATGCCGAAACAGTTGAATGGGCTTGTGGTTGCAAGTGCAAGTTTAGATTGAGTTACACCTCTTCAGTCCTTTCCGATTTTCATGTGCCCGGAAGCACTTCTTCCTGAAGCCAAGGGCCTCTGCAAAGGTGTTTTAGGGCGGTGTCGGGTGGGGGGTGGCTTCGAAGGAGCCGTCTGAAGCCCCAGTGGCTGTGCCAGGAGAAGCCCGCGCCCTTGAAGGCGGACTGAAGGTTGACTCTGGACCTTACGGACTCTACTGCAGAGTTGGGTTGAGCTGGCATTAGAAGGACTCTGCTTTTTCGGGTGTAGAGGCTCCCACAATATGGGATTTCTGTACTTGCGGTCTTCCCCCCAAGCAGTCGAACTGCAGGGACGACATGGGGTTGAGAGTTAGGGCTTTGGTTTCAAGAGCCCGCACTCGGACGAGGGTGTGACGCTTCGAAGCTCGAACTGGAGGTTTTCCTCGTGTGGGCTCTTAGATGAATCCCATGTTTCTTTCAACGCCGGGGAGATTCGTCAAAGGAGGCAAGGATTTGGGAGCTAGAGTATGCCTGTTACCACGGCCCAACACTGCGCTGACTACACGGTGGACTCATGCTGAAAGTGCTCAGCTGAAGTGTTTCCAGGACTCAGCTTTGGCCTAGGGACACGCTTCTTGAGACTTCAGTGGTTTCTGGCAGCAGCATGATAAGGTGACCCGTTCATGTTCGAGGCAAAAGGCTCTGAGGCATACCTCAAACCTTATCCTGAACCTTGAGGCTTTGGGATCCCAAAGCATCCTCGCCTTGGAAGGCTTGTAAGGATTCATGCCTTTGCAAGCCAGTGTCTGGTGAATGTAAACATCATCTGCCAGAATCTGCCGCGCAAACCTTGCAGGATGCGGAACTCCCCAGTCATGTAAACAATAAAGAAAAACGCGAATATATATATATATATATATATATATATATATGCTGCACCCGACTTTGATGTGATGATAAAATGCAGCAAGCCCAAACTCCAGCGCTGTATCGAGGGAAATTGCTTGACAGTGCAGTGCTGGGGGGCCGCGAGATAAGCGCAAATCGTAGAGAAGAAAGCTGTTTGGTTACATGACGACAACATGGAATAACATGTATTCCGTGTCCCATGAGGACTTGTCCAAAACCTCTACAAATACCCGAAAGACACCCGTTTGACAGCTATCTGCCTCCTTGATGATGAGTGAAAGCCTGCATTCGAGAAAGATGAACCAACTGTTGCTCGCATATACCATACAGGCACTCTTTGACAGGCACCCGATGAAAGTTCAAGATGCACTATCTGTCTAGGATCGGCGTCTCGGCCGCGCTCACTGCGATTCGAAAGCAGGATCCGCACATGTTCAAAGACTTGTCCTCGCAATTTCGCGCTGTGTACATACACAGACAAATACGTACAGGCACAAACACAAGCAAGCAAGCATGCACACGCATACAGACGCATACACACACACACATATATACACATATATACATATATATATATATACATACATACATACCTACATACATACATACATACGTACATACATAATCATACATACATACATACATAGGTACATAATCATACATACATACATGCAAACATACATACACACATGGATGCATGCATGCATGCATGCATGCGTGCACGCATGCAGACGTACGGACATCCGCATATCCATGCAAGCATCCATCGATGAATGCATATGTACATATGTACATACATACATACATACATACATACAGACAGACAGACAGACAGACAGACATACATACAGACATATATACATACACAAACATATATATATATATATTTACATGCATAAATATACATGCATACATACATGAACAGATACATACAGTACATACCTACCCTGCCCTCCCTTCCCTTTCCTGACATTTACATTATATGCACGCATGCATACATGCATGCAAATGTACAGAAAGACAGCTTTGCAGACTGGCATGCATACATACTGAGCTACACATAAATACATGCCTGCCAGTACCTCAGTTACCTACCCGCCTACGTACACGCATGCATGCGTGCATACATGCATACATTGCATTCAGACGTCCTTTTATGTACAATCGCAAAAAGCAAACACACACAGACAACATAACTACACATGCACAATGCGCAATACACATACACATTACGAACGCAAATGAAGAAACATACACTTAAATACGCTCTGACACACACATACATACATACGTGAGTACATACATACATACATACATACACATACATGCACACACACACATACATATGTACATATACACATGTAAATCATCTCGAGGATCGAAGGCGCAATGATGTTGGTTCATGTCAAGTGTTTGCAGTGGCTGGGGGTTGCAACAACTCAGCCATACATACCTATAGCATGGAAGGATAAGCTACATATCGAAGTTTACGAAGTTCTACAGCAAATCTTAAAGATGACGATCGCAAAGCATGAAGCTACTCCAGCCAATTACTGGGGTAGATATGCGTAATCCCTTCCCCCTGATATAAAACGCAGGGGGCCTCCCCCCCCCTCCCGATAAAAAACTCGGAAAGTGTTTGCATTATTAGGGGGTATTCTTATCTCTACTCCCACTTTTGAGGGGTCGTGATGTTGCTCCTGCTCTGGCTCTTTCTCCCGCGCTGGCTTTGGCTCCTGCTTCTGCTGCGTCTCTTGCGCCTGCTCCTGCTCCTGCCGTTGCTCCCTCTTTTGCTCCTGCTCTTGCTCTAGCTCCT